ACACGTTATAAGAAAAATAGACCCCTTATATAATTTTAATGAATGGATGCAAAACAAAATTTAATTGAATCAAAAGTTAAAAGAAAAAAACGATTTGATTTAAAAAGTAACAGCATAAATTATAAACCTAATTCCAAAATTATGTTAAAGAATGAAACAGGAAATAAACTAGAAAGCATATGTAAAGGCCCATATTTAGTAATAGAGGATGTAAGTCCTAATGTATTTATTAAATTAGACAATAATAAGGTTATTAAAGTTCATAAGGATAGGATAAAACCATATATAGAATAAGTGTATCAGGTAACTTGTAGTTTTTTTATGTAATTATACTACTATAGTAAGATTATATCTTAAAAATATTCTCACTGATCATGATCTTAAGTTAGTTTATCATGCTCTTATTGAAAGCCATTTGGCCTATGGAATTGTTACATGGGGAAGTGTCCTGGATGTCCATGTCAATAATCTATTAATACTTCAGAAAAAAAATTCTTAAAATTATCTTAAATAAAAATTTAACTTACCCGTCAGACCTGGTATATGACGAGATAAAAGTGTTTGATCTGCGAAAGCTTTACTTCTTTAAACTAGTTATTAAACAACATAAACAAAGAAGTTGCTTACCTACCTTACAGCATTACTATAGTACTAGACAGGCTGATAAATACTTACCCCCAAAAATGTTTAAGTCTATTGGTCAAAGATCTAGTGAGTACCTTGGTGTTAAATTATACAACATTATCTCTACTGATATAGCTAACACTGTATCGATAGATGCATTCAAACTTAAATTGAAGAACTTTTTAATTAACACTCCAAGAATTACTATCTCCAATTTTATTAAACCTTAAGCTTGTGTGCATAATATTTATAATATTTTAATTGTTCTGCGTTGTTTAAATTAATAAGTAAAAGTAGTGTAAAATATTATTTGTATACAGGGTGTTTCATAATATATGCGCAGGACTTCAGGATGTGATAGCTCATCCAAAAAGATGAAAAAAGTCGCTATTAACTTACCCTCTAAAATGCACAATTTTAGAGATACAGGGTGTTGAAATTTTAGAAAAAAAATAGTTTTTTTCGATTATCTCTGGAACCGTTTGTCGTATAAAAAACAGCATTTGTAAGCATTTTCTACTCATAATAAGCTATGTTTTGTGACAGAAAAATTTTTTTTTTCCTCATAATTGGTGGAGATTTTGAAGGGGTAGCGGGTGTTTTTCTCCTTAACTTCAACGCCCCTGAAAAAAGTACGGTTTTGAGAGGCCCATTCGAACCGCCAATGTTTTCTACACAAAAAAGGTACTCCTGGTCATAAGCTCTAAAGTTGACCGTTTTCGAGAAAAATCAACTTTTATGTTTAAAAACATGGTCAATTTTTTGAAAAAAAATTTTTATTACTAATTAAACAAAATTTATTTTAACGTTAGAAAAAGTAACAAAACCAAACAATAATTGCAAAATTAAAAAAAAAATAAAAAATGATTTTTTACATAATGCTGAAATGTTCGAAATGCGTTACCTTTACGGTTTGGAGAATTTAGCCTAGACAACTTTTGAATCATTTTTTATTTTGCAATTATGGTTTGGTTTTGTTACTTGTTCTAACGTTAAAATAAATTTTGTTTAATTGGTAAAAAAAATTATTTTTTTTTTAAGTTGACCATGTTTTTAAACATAAAAGTTGATTTTTCTTGAAAACGGTCAACTTTAGAGCTTATGACCAAGAGTACCTTTTTTGTGTAGAAAACATTGGCGGTTCGAATGGGCCTCTCAAAACCGTACTTTTTTCAGAGGCGTAGAAGTTGAGGAGAAAAACACCCGCTACCCCTTCAAAATCTCCACCAATTATGAGGAAAAAAAATTTTTTTCTGGCACAAAACATAGCTTATTTTGAGTAGAAAATGCTTACAAAAGCTGTTTTTTGTACGATAAACGGTTCCGTAGATATTCGAAAAAAACGAATTTTTTTCTAAAATTTCAACACCCTGTATCTCGAAAATTGTGCATTTTAGAGCGTAAGTTATTAGCGACTTTTTACATCTTTTTGGATGAGTTATCACATCCTGAAGTCCTGCGCATATATTATGAAACACCCTGTATATTGTAATATAAATATGTGTGTATATATGTGTATGTAATGCTAATTGTACTATAAATGCTTTGGAATTTTAAATGTATATATTGTATATGTATTTGTATGTGTGTGTATGATGTATGCTGTATATATTCATAGGTATGGATTTGTATATTTTTAAATTTGTATTTTATATTTATATTTACCAATTTTTTGTATTTCTAAATATTTTTTTTTTTTAACCCCAGACAAGTTTGCTTAAGGGGTTCGTTAGTTTATTTACTAATGGATATTTTCCTATTTTTATATTGTATTTTTTTTTTGTGAATAAACTTATTATTATTATTATTATTATTATATAAGTAAGAAAAAAGTTCCTAAAAATAGGTCAAGAAATGTTTCCCAAGGGAGCTACAGCCCCCGAAAGAGAAGCCCCTGAAGATGTTTTTTATTTAATATCTCCAAAACCGTTAAATAGAAAAGTGAAATTTTGGGATATAATCAAACTTTTTATGGCCAATAAGTTGGAATGATAACAAATTGAACTTTTTTGTACGTATCTTGTGCTATGATTTGATATGAGATCATAAAATTTAATTACACTTTAAACTGATTTCTACTGGACTGGCAAGATCGCCATGTAATGCCAGGGCATTGAGAGGTGTTACATTAGGGTGGTAATGAAACGCTGGGGGTCGGCTTGAAGGTTCGTATCGAACTCTGTTTAATAATAATATATTTTATTACAATTCTCATGTGGTCAAATAATGCTTATTGCACAGTTTGCACTTTGCGGAATATTGACCTAAGAATGTTAAGTGTCATCAGTGGGTTAGGGTCAAAATCCCGACAGACGAAATCCCGAGAAGTTAGAATCCCGACAGATTAAAATCCCTACAAGTTAAAATCCCGACAGGTGATATTCCCGACATATATTGAAAAAACAAGAACAAATCAAAACTTTTAAAATGTTTTTTCAAATTATACAAAAATACTTGATTTTTATTTAATTGCCAAAATGCAATTATTTTCTTTTTACTTTAAAAGTATTTTTAAGCTAATTACTTTATCTTAAGGCTTAAGGTATTAATTGCAAAAATAAATATTTTTTTAGGTATATTTTTGGCTTAAGGTATTAATTGCAAAAATAAATATTTTTTTAGGTATATTTTTGTGCAAAAGGTAACAAAAATATCCTTAAAAAGTTAAACTGGCACTTTTATCATTAATTCGTTTTCTACATTAATCTCTATATATTTGTGAAAAATGACCGAAATATGCGAAATTGTTTACTCTCAGAAAGGTAACCCTAAATTGAACGTCAATGGTTACTTGATGATTAAAGAAAGAAATCGAGATGATATGTTTTATTGGTGCTGCGAAAAAAGGAAGTCGACTGACTGCAAGGGAAGAGCAACAACAATCTTTCTGGAGGGAAGACACTTCCTGCGAAAATGTGTGGAACATAACCACGCTCCTGAAGCAAGTTCTGCGCCCATAAGTAAAACTATACAAAATATAAAAGAACAAGCTCAAAAAACAAGAGACCTGCCATGTCAGTTGATACAAAAGGAAATGTCAACTATGCCCTTCGCCAAAAAATTAAGCGTGAAAGACGTGCCGATAAACCATCTGAACCACAAGCTTTGGAAGCAATAGATATACCTGAAATATTAACGAAAACTTTAAGTGGAGAATTGTTTCTTATACGTGATTCGGATATTGGAGATGATAGAACTCTTATCTTTACAACGAAAGAAAACATTTTGCGCCTATCTCAGGCAACTTATTGGATAATGGATGGGACATTTAAGACAGTCCCAACAATTTTTCACCAATTATATACCATTCATGCTCCAGTGGGACCAAACAAGGATAAAACAGTACCCCTTGTATATTCGTTGATGACAGGCAAAAGTGAGGCATTATACAAGAGTCTGTTCCAAGATTTGATTGATTTTTCCGAAGAAAACGATGTGCGTTTGCAACCGGCTATAGTAGTAATGACCGATTTAGAAATAGCTGCGATAAATGCTATAAAGTCTGAATTTCCGGGTGTCCGTAACAAAGCGTGTTTTTTTCATCTAGGACAATGTGGATGGAGAAGAATTCAGGCATCTGGACTTACAAGAAGATATGGTAGCGACGAAGAATTTAGTTTGTTGCTCCGCCACTTGTTTACATTAGCGTTTATGCCACCGGAAGAAATACCAGCCGCATTTGACACCCTTAAACCACATATGCCACAGGAGGCAAACGATGTAGTTCTATGGTTCGAAGAAAATTACATCCACGGGAGAGTAAGACGCCATCTAAGGAATGGGGTGGCTCTTCGGAATTCACCGTTATTTCCACCAGAATTATGGTCCGTCTACGATTCTATATTATAGAAGAATTTCAAAAAGAACAGCGAAATGTAGAAAATATTTGTGAAAATTTGGTTCGAGGTGAAGGATGTTCAAAGCCTAAACAAGCAACAATTGATAGGGAAAAAAGGATTCTACACGTAATGGAAAATTGGTCTAATTTGACCTTATTACAATACCTGCGGGGCATCGCCCACAGCGTTGATTTATAATAATATAAAAATAAATATGTACTAATTTATAATAAATATTAATTTATATGATATCTATTTTATTTATTTCCCTTATATAAAAAAGGGATTTATACTTGCTGGGATTTTAACTTGTCGGGATTTCGTCTGTCGGGATTCCAACTGTCGGGATTTTGATTGTCGGGATTTTGACCGGCACCCGTCATCAGTATGTACAATGAATAAACTATGTCTCTGCACTACAATAATAATTATTTAAATGTTTCTTCTAGGACTTGCGCAATGGACAAAGCTACACAAAACTGTATGATTATCCGCTTTGCCTCACGGCGAGATTTCATACATCTGTGTACCTCACCCATGGCGTGGGCTACAGCAACGAAGTATGTTAGAGAAGCTAAGCCGCTCGCCAGCATTCAGCCAAGAACAATATTGTCCAGGCTAATGAAACTCTGCAAGGCTATGAAGGGACTAAAGAAGGTCGTTGACTACAACACTGCCCAATGCCTCGTCCTTGCAGTGGTAAAGCCGTCGAGGAATACTAAAAAAAAGCGGCAGTCGAAGAACAGACGAACGGTAAGTAAGTCTTCACAAAGGTTGTTAATTGTCGTCTTGCTTTTAACTTTTGTGTCTCTTTGTATTGCTAGCAACTCGAGGAATGTTGCCTCGAAGTGTCTGGGTTTACGTTAGAGGAATATAAAACCATTATCACTAGATCGACTACAGCATCGCCTATGCCAGCAACGCGTCATCCCACTGTAAGTTATCTTTTTTTTCTTAAAACCAGAAAACACATACGGTGCGTTCCAAATTTGTTTATAGTCATTATCGTGTAGTGGTCAGATTAAAGAAGGCTGATGTAATGTAAGTTTGGCTTTTTAACAAAACCTCGATCTTGTACCACTAACACCAAGAATAGAGAAAGCATCGGTACCCAAGACTGGCCGAATGCTCGCTGTATCTATTCCTGCAAGAAATAAAGATGTCAACATTAGGCATTTTTATATTTTGTATTTACATGTATTTTTCTCTATTATTAATATTATTATTATTATTGTATTTTGTATATCTGCCGTTAAACCTAAAGGTTTTAATTTTTTTTATATAATATTTGTATGTTTTTTTTGCAGATCGACGATCTTTGATTCTTTTCCAACTCGACATATACAATAGGGTGGAGCAAGTTAAATTTCATTTATTTTTAAAGTAGGGCAAAATTTGCAATTTTTGTTTGCTGCTCTTTGCTTGTTTTTTTATTAAAAAAACAAATTCAACATTTTCATAAGGGGTGGATCAGATAGATAGGGAGTGTGGATAAAACTACCCTAACTTTTTTGTACGTATCTTGTTTGATTTGATATGAGATCATAATATTTCAGAGTTTTGCACATAAAAAAGGTCCTCTTGATGAACTTCAATAGCATGCACTATTTTTGCTTAAAATCGATTAAAAAATTACCTTACATAGCATAAAAATTCATAATGAAATCACAACTAGAGAAAAAGATTCAGCGTAGGCCATGGGCAATTTTTAAATACCCTGTCACATATAACATGAAACTGTCACATGTCTTAAATAATTTTTCATAAAAATTGCAGCTGTGTTCCATGGCCTACGCTGATTTTTTTCTTTTGTGAATTCAATATGATCTTTTATGCCATGTAATGATATTTTTAAATTGATTTTAAGCGAAAACAGTGGAAAATATCAAAGTTTAACAAGAGGACCTTTTTTGTGTGGAAAACTCCGAAATTTCATGTGGGCAACTCTGTATATTTTTCGCATCTAGATTTAGCTCAATCCTACTATCAGCTGAAATTAAGTCCTAATTGCAAAAGGGTTACGGCTTTTTCAACAGATAAGGGTCAATTCCAAATGAAAAGATTGGCCATGGGTATGAAAATCAGCCCCAGTGCTTTTTCTCGTTTAATGACAATTGCAATGACAGGTTTGAATAATGACTCTTGCTTTGTCTATATGGACGATTTAGTTGTATTTGAGCAATTCCTTCAAAACCACAACCAAAATTTAACAAAAGTTCTGCAAAGACTTCGAACTGTCAATCTCAAACTAAACCCAAACAAATGCCATTTTTTTAAAAAGGAGATTTTATATTTAGGTCACAAAATTTCTTCAGAAGGTTTGTTGCGTTTGTAAATTATTATAGAAAATTTATAAAAAGCTTCGCTGAAATTACATATCCTCTCAATAGACTATATCGCAATGGCTGTCGATTCTATTTTTTTAAATCATAATCAAAATTATAATATAATAACTAATTAAATTTTTCCTCTACGACTTACGCAATGGCCCGCAATATCGACAGAAAAACCCGAAACGCAATGATAATCGGGTTTGCTTCCAGGAAAGATTTTATCCACCAGTGCAGCTCACCTATGTCGTGGGATATAGCCAAAAATTATATCAAAGAGGCTAAGCCGCTTGCTAACACTAAAACAAAAACCAGATTATCGAGGATAACTAAACTTTGCAAGTACTATCGGGAAAATAATTATATAACTAACTAAATATATAACTTATAACACCAAGATTATTATAACATAGTATTAACGAGTTTTGTAAAAACCTTTAATATGCCGAATTTATCAACACAACAAAAAACCGAAATTCTTGTGCTTAAGAGCCGGGGCTTTTCTATTACCCAAATTGCAGAAAATATGCATATCGGGTTTTTTACAGTTTATTATAATATTTATTTTATTATTGACTTGGTTTATTATATTATTTACTTTATTTCTATATTTTAATATTAAAATTTAATTATAGAGGCCAATTGTGAGATTATGGATAAATAGATATCACAACGATGGAAACATCAATCATAATCCAGGAGCTGGGCGCCCTCGAATGATTCAAGAAGAACCATTGGACAATATTATGGATGAAATTGAAGAGTTCCCATTCAGATCTACCAGAACCATGGCTCAAGAGTATGGTTGTTCAATGCGGACCATAAGGAATACCCTTCACAGAGCTGGTATCCACCACCGAATTCCTGCCAGAAAAATAGCTTTGACTGAGGAGAACAAAGCGACACGTGTGCGCTTTGCAAGGGAATTTCGACTTTTTCCATTCAATATTTTCCGACGAAAAAACATTTAAATCGTCGCAGAATGGAAAAGTTCACTTGTGGAGACGCAATGGCACCCGATCATTCGAGTCATCATTCTATTCATTCATTATTCGATCAACGGTCAAGCAGCAAGTTAAATAAATCTGGGTTTTATTTTATAATTTTCCTACTTTAAAGGTAGGTAGATAATTTATTTAGATTCGTTGAGGTATAGCATTTTTATGTATTATTAAAATAAATCTGGGTTTTTACAAGGGGATTAAGTTTTATTTTATAATTTTCCTCATTTAAAGGTAGGTATAGGTATATTTTGAGACCACAACGTCCACAAAAAGTTCACTTGTGGAGACGCAATGGTACCCGATACGATTCAAGCCACACGATAAAAACTCAAGAATCTGGTAGGATTCATTTAAACATGTGGGGGTTTCTGTACTTCCAGGAAGAACAACTGGAGAAATTTATCGGGATGTCTTAGAGACATGTCTTCGACCTGCAGTCCGGATTATATATCCACGTGAGGAAGTCCCACTGATAAATTATTTTCAAGGTAATGCCCATTCATCGGGCACGTGTGGTGCAATCCTGGTTTGACGAAAACTAGGATATTATTAATATGCCATGGCCAAGTAGGTCCCCAGACTTAAATCGCATAGAAAATCTATGGGCCAAAATGGTAAACATCTGGGAAAATGAAAATGAAAGAAACAGGGATGCACTGAAACATCACTGCATTCGAGTTTGGGATTCTTGGGCACTCAAATATGTCAAAATTTGGTATTGTCAATGAGATCCCGGTGTGATGCGGTAATAGCTGCAGAAGGCGAGATGACAAAATATTAATTAGTTAATTTTGTCATTATTTATTTTTTATAAATTTTATTAAGGTTATATATAGTTATATATATATAGTTATTATTATTAACAATTATTGTTATTATCGTTGATATTATTACTATTATTATGACCAGGACAATGACACCGCGATTTTTTTTTTCGACCTCCGAAAATAAAACTAATTATTAGGCAATTTTCATAATTTATTTAAAATCGTAAAAAAATTACCAAATTAAACCCTTTTTTTAATCTCATAATTTAAACTATGGAAAATACATATGCCATGGTAAAAACAAATTATAAATATTATAAAAAAAATATTAATGAAAATATTTAAGACGAATAGTAAAAGGGGCGTGATCGCACGTGGCCGGCGAAATTTCTTTAAAGCGAAACAAAACCGCTATTGACTAGACAATAAATACCCGAAGGCGTGGCCAGCGAATTCTGTTTTCATTTCAGGTAAGAGATGAGCATGTGATAGTGATAATAACATTAGTAAGGAACTTAAAGGTGTTAAAGAAGCATTACAAGAATGCGTTAAGAGTATTAATAGACAGAAATAATACAAAGTCAGAATTTAAAAAAGTTTTTTGAAAATTTTAAAGAGGGTAATAAAAAAGTTAATGAACTATATATAAATATTCAGACATATTGAAAAAGAACAAAAAAAAAATAATATAGATAAACAAGAAAGCAAGATTACAATGGGAATAATAAAAGAAACAGTGAATCCCAGTGTTAATGTTAAAAACATAAAAGATGAAGGTATAATATATATATGAAAAAATAAAGGATACAATCAAGAATTTACAAGACAAATATAATATTGAAGAACGTGTAATGAAAAAACCAATGATTATTATTGTAAATGCATAGGAAGAATATGTTAAAATGGAAAATGAAAGTATTGTAGAAAATCTTAAAAAACAGAATATTATTTTGGAAAATAGTATAGTGAAAATGTATCGTAAGTATGTAAGTATATAAAAAAGTTTAAAAATATTTGTGGAAATATAATAATATAATTGGACAAAGAACAGGGGCGTAGCTACCGCGGTATCAGCCGTATAAATGATACGGGGCCCCCGGCTAGGGGGGCCCCCGATTGGCTTCGACATGCGTAAGCAAAAACACTCTCTAAAAATGAATTAGTCAAAAATGACTAATTGTCATAGCGAAAAAGCAGCCACTAATAATTCTCGTCAAAAGCAATTTATATCCCGAACATTTAGCAGTCAATTTCCATGCAAAATTGTCCCCTAAATCCAAAAATGTCGTCAAAAGTTGGAAAAGTAAAACAGTTTTTGAGATATAGTCAATTTTTCATATAATTTTGAATTGACTATATCTCAAAAACTGCGGCGCAGTCTGCGCATATTGTTCTGTGCTCTGCGCCGCATACTGATTCTGCTTTCCGTGTTATTATCATAGGTTATATTAATAGCAAATTAGAAATAATTATTAGCGTTACAATTATTTCAAATGACTGTCCTTTATTTTAAAATAGAAACCTTTTAAAACATGTTTAGAACGGTAAATGTCTAAAACCATACCAAATTTTAAAATTTGCCTGTACATAAAAAGCTATGTATAGGTACATATATTATTTATTAAATTATAAAAAATTGGTAAATGAAAAAA